CTTCATATAGTCAACCCAGTGATCAATGAAGAAAACATAAAGGAAATTAAAAACTAATTTTGTTTTGCCAATTTTGAACTGGCAAAACACCCCACTAACATAAAAAAATATATAAGATATATATTAGGTTAGGTTGGGTTATTTGGAGAGGGTTATTGGTGGCCCTGAATGTATAATTTTATAAAATATTAAAGGATGAAGGTTCATGATCTAAGTATTCTTTTCAATAAAGAAGAAATACCCTCCATCCTTCTGATTTTTTATGCCTATATTCTCTCTATGATGTACAAAAAGAGAGGCTAGAGGAAAATGAGAGATGGAAATAATTTTTAAAAAAAGGAATTCTCGAGGATTGAAAGACTTGAGTTTCTAAAGTTAAAGGGATTATCTGGTGTTTTAGAGTAAGTATCAAGATATAGCCACATAAGAGTACATTATTGCGAAATCTCAGAATCCTATAAACAAAGAGAAAATATTAAAAGTTTTCATAGAGCAGAAGGATACAGAAACATGACGGTGTCCGCCTTCTCACCGTTATCTCTGAAAGCTAAAAGACAAAGGAACAATGTCCTTAAAATATGACTAAGAACCTGAAACCACAGATATTTTTATAGATACAAGTCAGAAAAAAGCTACCTTGCATATATTCTTTCTTATGGAGGTATTGGAAGAGATACAACAACAAAATAAAGAGTAATTTAAGGAAAAGGACAAGATGAGACCCAAGAAATCAAGGTTGTAGCAGAAGGAAAAACTGAATTCCCCCAAATAGGGAAGAGAGTTCCCAAGACAACAGGTATTACTCAAGCCTAATTAGAAATGTGTTCATATTGAAGCACATAAGAAGACTGTGAGAGATATGCCTTCAAGAATATTAAATTGAAAGAATGTCTAGAGCATTTGAATATATTCAAAAGCAATTTAGACAATTGGGAGGTGGAGAGGAATTTGGAGCTGAATTATACATTTACAGAAAATCAGACAGTTACTCATTTTGGAGACAAATTTTCTAAAGAAAGTAATGTCTATCACACAGCTTAACTGTAAACAGAATGTGCTACTCCACATGCAAATATGAATAATGATATAATGTGAGTAATGGAATGCATCCAGTGAAGCTTTTACCTTAACACTTTTAAGATTACATGGATAGAAATGTAGTTTGTTATGACAGTGATAGAGTACAAAAGAGGGCTGAAACAGTGTCTTCCATCGTGCAATGCCAGTAGACACTGCCTGAAATTGAAATATAAAGAAGTTGCAATACCACCCCTTTAGGGAGGGGGAAGATATGGCTATGAAATAAGCTGGTTGTTTCTGGGAAGCAGTATATAGTGTTGAAGATACATGAGTTTTATAATATTTGACTTTTTACATATGTGTATAACTTTAATAAAATGATAAAAATTTTAAATTTTATATGATTTACCGGGTAATTTCAAAGATAATTATATAGTTTAATTCCATTAATTACCATTTGCTTCTAACTCCTTGTGGCGAGGTGAAATTACTTACGATGGCTCTACTATGTCTTTGTAACTCCCACCAAATGATTGGACAGAACCATGCAAACAGTGTGTAAAACACTAATAGGAGATTGGTCCGTTTTGCTACCCCACTTTGTCTATAAGTGAGCCATCTCAACAGCAGGAAGCAAGAGAAGTCCATGACTATTAAGAAAGAAGAGCCGTCACCGAGTTTGTGTGAGGTTTCTGGCTGAAGTGCATGAGGAAGCTGAAGCATTGAGACCATGAGACAGGACAGAGGAAACTTATGGGGACCACGAGGCAGTGTAGTGAGCTTCCTGGCCCACGTAACAAGGCAGAGACCAAGAGATTATGTGGCTGAGAAACAATGTGAGGCCAAATTGACTAGAGAAACAAAACCAGTGACATACATGTATGAGAAAGAGCTTTATATCAAGAAGTAATTTTATATCATGAAAGCCTCTAGGCCTAGTCTAACTTAAATCTAAATCTGGTATTAGCCCATAGTCCCTCTTCAGATTCATGTAGCCACATGCAGGGATGCAGAATGCAAGAAGAGCTCAGACCCATGGTTATAGTTGTGTTGATCCAAGGTCAGTGGAAACATGGCAGTCTCTGGCAGCTCTCAGGCTCAGTGACAGAGTCTCAGCACGCAGGAAGGCAAAGGGGCAGAGAAAGGGGGGTTGTCAGGATCTTCCTTATAAGAAGGCCACACTGTCGAGGAGACAGCATAAGGCTATGATCTGATTGACAGTGGGATTCCACCCTACACTTTTAAACATCTTCAAATTGACATCAAATTATCTAACTACTACAGAGGTCAAGGGCCAGAGAGCTATGTCCGCTAGCATGGTTGAGAAGAGACATTGCAGACAAAAGAATTGTATCCCTAACATTTTGTAACCTGTTAGCTACCCAAATAAGCCCCCTTTTATGGGTATTGTCTGTGCGTTCTGTGTGATAATTGCAATGAATTATTGAGCACAGCAGAGAAAGGTATTTTAGGAAGGATGATTGGTGTTAGAATAGCATAAAGAAGGTGCAAGGGTTGAGGCATGCCTGACCTTTGCATTGTGGCAATTGACCTTAGGCGGATGTGGAGTTGTAATCTTCTTTATGTATGCCATTTCTTTACCTTTGTATCATTAAAAAAAAATTCTTAGGAAAACTGTGACTATGTCCTTCCAAGTTTTATAAAAACTTTGAAAACTGAAAATATAGAACATACTTCATTTGAAAGTTGTGGCTTGTGTTAATGCCATTCTTTGGAATGGGTCAATGTTTAGTACCTAGTTAATTTTTTTATTTGTGGTTAATATTGTAATGTAGTCAAAGCTCAGCCATTAGTTGGAGAAGTACCAGCAGGGAGTGTAACTTGTACTTACTGTGGCCCAGGCACTAGGACAAATGGTTTCACATCTGCCTCTAGAGTAGGAAGGGACTGTGTTGAATTGAATGTATGGTCCCTTATGTGTAGCACAAAATACATAGGGAGTGTTTGTGGAATGAAGTGATGCTATTTCTCTTTATATGAAAGGGTCAAATAGGATCTATTCCAAAATGTAAGGATTATGTAACTGAAGCACGCAGAAGAATCCAACTGAAGGCTTCTGCATATTTTTTTCTGTTGATTATCTGTATCTAAAAATTCAAATTTGATAGTCCCAAATACAAAATAATCACCATTGAATGAACACACTACTGAGAAAATGAGTTAAATTTATGAATATATGTATGTATAGTTATAGTTATGTGATAATATTAGCTCAAAAGTACACTACCATTTATTGAACCCTTTAACATACATTATCTTAATCTTCAGAAGAACCCTATGACATAAACAAAGGAATTTATGTTACTTTCATCTTTATTGCTGCCTGGTTTAGTCTAATCATACACATCTTAAAAGTAGTGACTTCTTTTTAAAATTAAATTTACTTTTATTAATTTTTGTATATTATCTTGTTTCCTCTAACCAAACTGCTACAAGGGAATGGCTTTAACAACGGCAAATTTATCTTCTCACTTTTCTTCTAGGAGGCTAGAAGTCAGATTCTGGGCAATAGCTAGGAGAATTTCCTTGTCTCCTTTCTACATCTGTAGGCTCACCATTTCTTGGAGATCAATCTCTTTGTGTCTTGGGGTCAATCTTCCCGCTGGGTATAAGAGATTCTCAGCCCAGGGATTCCAAAGGACATGCTCTGCTCCTGGCTCTTATTTCTTGGTAGCATGGATGTCTAATGGTACAGCAGGTTCGTTGGCTCAAACCCGCCAGCTGCTCTCCAGGAAAAAGTTGAGACGGTCTGTTATCATCGAGATTTATAGTCTTAGAACCCCTGTAAAGCTGTTCTATCCTGTTCTGTAGGGTCACTGTGCACTGGAATTGACTCAGTGGCAGTGGATTTGGTATGGTTGTGTGAGGTCCTTCTCCTCTCTGCTCACTTCTCTGTTCTTTATTTCTTGTGCGATGAAAGGTGTTAGTCCAACAAGGATGCAACCTGAGTAAGGTGTAACTTGAATGTGGGAATGACTTGGATCACACTCTTGTAAGGCTGTGACTCAAGACACCGGCGGGGTGGGGTGTGTGTGGGGGATCTTGTCTCATTAGCATACGAGGTTCGAATTGGCAACACATGGCAAAGGAAAGCAGATCACAAACTGGAGGACAACCACACAATACTGGGAATCATAGCTTTGCTTGGTCGGCCCATATTTGGGGATGACACAATTCAATCAATGAAAAGTACTATAATTTATTTATAAATATCCTTCTAAAAAGCAATAACCACCTACATTCATAGACAGCCATGTTATTATTTAGGCAATAGCTATACATATACACAATAAAACCATACACACAAAATAAAATTCTTCACATAGGTGTCTTTCTATGTAAATAAATACTTAAAAGATCGTTTTTAATATCTGCTTCATATTCTAGTGTATGGATTTGCTGTTGTGAGGTAGTTCAATCCTGTTCTAGTTTTTGCATTTAACTACCTCTATGTCCATTTATAAACTTGGCTTAAGAGCCCTGGTGGTGTAGTGGTTACGTGTTGGGTTGCGATCCTCATAATCAGCAGTTCAAAGCCACCAACACCTGCAGGAGAAAGACTGGGCTTTCTACTTTGGTAAACAGTTACAGTTTTGAAAAACCACAGGGGTTCACTATGAGGTAGCATTGACTCAAGGGCAGTGAGTTTGGTATTTTGGGTATTTCTTTTTGATAAACCATAACTTTGTCTTGAACTGAGATTTTCTGGCCATAATTATAAAAGTACCTGAAATTATGAGTCAGAGACGCTATCGAGTGTTAGCTATTTTCTGGGCCATTGTTTTGCAGGACAAGACATCAAGATCTCTGTATCAAAGTTCCCCTCTTTGAAACTTTAGGCTGACAATACTCACAGTACTTTTGTTAAGTAAAAATGAATACGAGCAATAAAAATTATTGGACAAAAACATTTTCAAAATAGTCATTTCTTTTACTAACTGTACATTTTATGTCAATAGGTTTAAAACCTCAAAAAGGATTCTGGAAAAAATGGAAACTGAAAAGACTCACAACAACAACTATACATGGTAGCGTGAAAACCCAGGAAAAATCTGTACGGGAAAGGATTACGAGCAGTCAGGAACGCATAATGGCGAGTAAGTAAAGTTGCCGTGAACTGCAGGATGGAATCGATAGCTAAATCATGTATATTAGGTTATTTATTACATCAGAATGTTCTTCAGTAGAGGATTGTGTTGATCTGGGTAGACTAGAGAAACAAATTCATAGATACACACATGTCTATAAGAAAGAGCTTTATATACAAGAGCAATTGAACATTGAGAAAACTTCCCAGCCCAGTCCAGATCAAGTCCATAAGTCCAATATTAGTCTATAAGTCTATTACCGATCTATAAAGTCATCTTCAGACTCACAAAACATATGCAATGACACTGAATGCAGGACGATCACAGTGGGTAGAAAGTCTTTGGGTAGAGTGGCATTGTGAGCATCTCAGCGCTGGCAGGGGTTTCCCCGTGGCTTCTCCAGGTCCAGGGTTCTGGCTGCATCAGGGTAGGTCCATGTGGCTTCTCCTCAGGGATGTCTCGCAGGGAGTCAGCCTTGTCAGTAGAGAGTCTCCAAGGAAGTGTCTTGAGACTCTCTCCCACTCCAAGGAGGAAAAACCAGATTTCCCAGAATTCTCAGGAGAAAGCCATGCCCATACAGAGGCCTCATTGGCTATGATCCAGTTGACAGACTAGACTCCACCCCTTCACTCTTAATCCTCTCAAGTCTCAAATTGACACCAGATTACATAACTACCACAAGGATGTTACCATTTTATTTTTAGATCAGTACCAGAGTAGTTTGAACATTGCTTTATATTTAGTTTTTTATTATAAAAAATGTCATGTACTCAAATCCTTTTCCCATTTGTCTGTGATATTTTTAAATTTTATTTTTAGGAAATTTTAACTCTTTTGGTATAGTATGTTTTTTCTTATTTTTACCTGATTTTTCTCATTTTTAGCTCATTGCTAATGTTAATCATGTGTTTCATTTTGATAAAACTTAGAATTTGCTTAGTAAATTTATGTTTTCTTAATGTAAGATTATAAAAATATCTACCTATATTTTTCCCAGTTATTTTTATTCCCATGTTTTATTTAACTTTTTAAATCTACGTATTTGGAAATCATTTTGTTGTAAAGAATTGTATTCCAATAGTATGTTTTATCGCTTTGTAAAATTCACTCCTCACATCAAATAATCAACTCGTAGATTATTTGAAAAAACATTTTATTTGGAAATGTTTTTTATTATCTTCAGTTGCCTTTAGCTATGTGCCAAATTCATCCACCAGGACCAAACGTGTTGGTTGCTCTCCATTGCTGAGCTTCAGGTGACTGTCATGGTTGTTAGGTGCCGTGGCGTTGAGCCCAACTCACAGCACCCCACAGAGAAAACACTGCCCTGTCTTGAGCCAGCCTCAAACTCTTCACTGGGTGTAAGCTCATTGCTGCAGCCACTGTGCAAGATTCCTTGGCTCTCTTCCTCTTTTTTGCTGCCTTCTACTTTACTAAACCTAGTCCTTTTCCAGAGGCTCGTCTCACCTGACAAGGTGTCCAAAGTATATGAGATAGTCTCACCATTCTTGCTCCTAAGGAGCATTCTAGCTGTACTTCCTCCAAGACAGATTGGTTTGTCCTTCTGGCAGTCCATGGTACTTTCAAAAGTTTCCCCTTACATCATAATTCAAATGCATCAATTCTTCTTTGGTCTACTTTATTTAATATCTAACTTTCACATGCATGAGGTGATTGAAGTAAATACCATGGCTTGGGTCAGACACACAGTAGTCTTTAAAAAGGAAATCCTTCCTTTTCAACACTTTAAAGAGGTCTTGTGCAGCAGATTTACTCCATGCAATATATTGCTTGATGCCTTGCTTGCTGCTCCCATGAACATTGACTGCAAATCCAAGCAAAATGAAATCCTGGACACCTTCATTCTCTTCTCTGCCTAACATCATGTTAGGCAGATCAAGTTATGAGGATTGTGTTTGTCTTCACTTTGAGTTGCAATCCATACAAAGGGCTGCAGTCCTGGATCGTCATCCTCACTTTCCGCAAGGAAAACTGAGTCTTCTGGATAGCTCAGGTTGGTAATAAGCCTTCCTCCAATCCTGATGCCGCATTCTTCTTCCTATAATCTACCTTTGGTTATTTGTCCAGCAGATAGATTAAGTACAGTGAGTGAACACAACCATGACACACACCTTTCCTAAGTTTAAACCATGCAGGATGGTTTGTTTAAACAGATGCCTCTTGGTCCGTGTGCAGGTTCCACATGAGCACAATAAAGTGTTCTGCAATTTCCATTCTTCTCAATGTTAGCCATAGTTGTGATCCACACAGTTGACTGCCTTTCCGTCATAAAAAAAAAAAAACACAAGTAAACATCCAACTTGAATTTCCAGCAGTTCCCAGTTGGTTGCCAGCTGCAATAATTATTGAATTGTCTTCAGTGACATTTTACTTGCATGTGATAATAGTGGTGTTTGGTATTTACCACATTCTACGTTTGGATTATTCATTGATGTTTGCAGCTATTTTTGTCTTATTTTGAGTAGTGCCTGATCAGCAAATAAAGATTCCAAAAGATTTTTTTCGTCCACATCATCATGGCAGTCTTCACTGAAGGCCACCTTTCTTTGGAATAGGCACAAAGATTGTTCTCTTTCCTTCAGTTGACCACCTAACTGTCTTCCAGATTTCTTGGCATAAACAAGTATTTCCAGCACATCATCAGCTTGTTGAAACATTTCAATAGGTATTCCATCAATTCCTGGTGCCTTGTTTTTGGCTAACTTCTTCAGTGTGGCTTGGAGTTCAATTTTTAAATTATTAATTGGGAATTAATATATCTATCATACCATTCCATAGTACAGTCATATCCAGCAGAATTGTACAGTTGCTACCACAATCAGTTTCCAGACATTTCTTATCTACATTGATTCCTTGATATCATCTCCCCTCCCTCCTGCCACCACCACTATACACCCCCCCCCAACCCCTTATTCTATTTGCTATCTCTATAGGCTCATCAATCCTGGGTTTCATATACAGATAAATGGGGGAAAAACATAGAACGCAACTTCAAGAAGGTCCCAAAGACCTAACTCCTCTGAGATATACCCCCTAATATGTACAAAGAAACACCAACCAAAACAGTACAAACCAAAAATACAGAAAATGTTGGCAACCAGATCAGGTCCAGCCTGCATCAAAGGCGGGGTCTGCTGACAAAGTTTTAACTGTTTGGGTCAAATTTATGCCTTTGATTTTCTATACTCAACTCTCTAATGCACTCTGTTTAGTAAGCACTTCCGTTCTATCTCTCAATTGTGGATAGAAGGAGTTAACTGGAATCCTTAAATACCATCGGTCCTTGCTCATGAGCTTCCTCTTGAAATGGTTGAATGTTGTGAAACATGAAATATTTTTCCTGTACAATTCCTCATCACCACTCCCCCAGGATTGAATTTTCCTTCAGTTCTTTTAGCTTGAAGTATGCAGAGCATCTTCTTCCTTTAGGCTTTCTGACTCCAAGTCTTTGAACATTTTGTTATAATAGGTTTTTGTCTTTTGGGGCTACATTTTTCACTTTCTATTCATCTTTTTTACTTCATAGTTTCTTCCATTTGCTTTAGTTACTCTACATTCAAGAGCAAGCATTAGTCTCTTCTGACATCCACTTCGATATGTTTTTTCTTGGTTGTCTTTTGAATGAGTTTTGCTTTCTGCCTATGTAATGTTCTTGATGCCATTCCACAGTTAGTCAGTTCTTCTGTATTAGTGTTCAATGCATTAAATCTATCCTTGACATGTTCTTCAAATTCAGATAGGATATATTCAAAGTAATATTTTGTCTGTTGTGGATGGACTTGTTTAAATTTTGTTCCATTTCTACCTGCATTTACATATGAGTAATTGATGAACTTTTCCAAGCCTCATTTGTCTGCTAATATTGAGCTTCTCTTTCACCTCTTCCCACCCATGTATATTCTGTATATTCCATCTGGCGAGTTCCACGTGTAAAGTCACATTCATGTTGTTGGAAAAAAGGTATTTACAACGATGAAGTCTTTATTCTTACAATATTCTGTCTTGTAATCTCCAGCTTTATTTCTATCACCAAGACCATTATGCCTTCCTTTTTGTTTCCATCTTTTGAATTCCAAATGCCAATAATTATGACCATATCTTGATTTTATGTTTGATCAATTTCAGACTGAAGAAGTTGGTATAATTCTTCAACCTCTTCATCACTAACTTCAGTGGTTGGTCCATAAATTTGAATACATATTTGTATTAACTGAGGCTCTTTGTAGGTTTATAGATATTATCCCATCACAGACACCATTGTACTTTAAATAGATCTTGAAATGTTCTTTTTGACAATGAATGTGACACCATCCCTCTTGATTTTTTTGTATCCCCAGCATCGTAAACCATATGACTGTCAGATTTAAAACGGACAACGCCAGTCTGTTGCAGCTCACTAATGGCTTAGGATTGAATTTTACACGTCCCACTTCATTTTTGATGACTTCCAATTTTCCTTAATTCATACTTGATATATTCCATGTTCTTATTATTAATGGATGTTTTCAGCTGTTCTCATTTTGAGTCATGCTCCATTAGCAAATAAAAGTTCTAAAACCTCTGCTGCATCCACGTCATGGTGGTGGACTTTTGTTTGAGGAGAAAGCTCTTCTTCATCTTATTCTGAGTGCCGGTCAACGTGAGGAGTTCATCCTGGCACAAAACTGGCAATATCTCAGTGCTATTCATCATATTTTCTGTGACAGGAGCCTCAGAAGTGGACAGCCTGTTTCTTCTCTGCAGTCTGTTCTTTGTCTGGAAGCACACTGAAACCTGTTCGCCGTGGGTGGCCCTGCTGGTATTTAAAATATTGGTGACATAGTTTCTAGCATCGCAGCAGCATGCAAGCCACCACAGGATGACAAACTGACAGACAGAGGTGGAACAAGTTTCATAAGACAAGTTTATTTCCCTCTTTTTTCTGCTGCCTCGTATGCTGCAGTATTGAACATGGGTCTGATGCTTAGGCTACATTTCTGACCAGTAAGTCAGAATCTCGGGCAGGGGACATGACGCTCAGATTATTGGACTTTCACACACTTTTTGTATTTTTCCGTAATCATTATAAAATGTTCCTTTCCGCCTCTGGTAATTCCTTTTTGAGTTCTGTTTGATCTGATATGATGGCAATTTCAGCTTTGTTACTCTTCCTTTCCCATCATTTTCCTTACAACCTGATTGTTGCTTCTATGTTGTAAGTATACTTAGTTGGGTCTTTTTTCTTTAAACCAGTCAGAATTTTATGTGAATTTGAACACTTATTTCATTTATCATTAATGTAATGGTTGGTATGATTTCGTGTATCATGCCATATTCCTATTTATTTTTAATTATTTCTTTTTTTAATCATTTTATTGGGGCTCGTACAATTCTTATCACACTCCATCCATCCATCCATTGTGTCAAGTACATTTGTTGCCATCATGATTTTTAATTATTTCTTTCTTGTTTTTCTAGTCTCCTTTCCTAACTTGCTTTATTTAATCAAATAGATTGAATCTTCTCTTTTAATTCCTTTATTGGCTATTTATGTATACCTCTATATTTGGGGGGTTGTTATATAGTGGGTTTTCTTAAAAAGGCATTTTTAAAAAATCATTTTATTGGGGCTCATACAACACTTATCACAATCCATACATCCATCCATTGTGTAAAGCACACCTATACATTTGTTGCCCTCATCATTCTCAAAATTCGCTTTCTGCTTGGGTTCCTGCAATCAGCTCCTCATTTTCCTTTTTCCTCTCCCCCTCCCTCCCCACTCCCCCCTCCCTCATGAACCCGTAATAATTTATAAATTATTATTTTATCTTACCTTACACTGCCCGGTGTCTCCCTCACCCACTTTTCTGTTGCCCATCCCCCAGAGAGGAGGTTATATGTAGATCCTTGTGATTGATTCCCCCTTTCTACCTCCCCCTTCCCTCCTGGTATCGCCACTCTCACCGCTTGCCCTGAGGGGTTCATCTGTCCTAGATTCCCTGTGTTTCCAGTTCCCATCTGTACCGCTTTGCATCCTCTGGTCTACCCAGGTTTCCAAGGTAGAATTGGGATCATGAGTAGTTGGGAGGAGGAAGCGTTTAAGAACTAGAGGAAGGTTGTGAGTTTCATTATTGCTACACTGAACCCTGAGGGACTCATCTCCTCCCCACTACCCCTCTGCAAGAGATCTTCAGTTGTCTACAGATGGGCACTGGGTACCCATCACGCAAAATGTCTCTTTAGATAGCAAAACTTTCACTTTAATAAGGCCAAGTCATGAGATTTTCCATTTTCTTATATGCACGTGACACCTGGTGAACGAAACAGGAAGACCAAAGGAGCGGGACACATTCAAATTAAAGTGTTGACAAAGGATATTCAATATATCATGGACAGCGAGGACAAATAAATCTTCCTTAGAGGAAGTATAGCCTGAATGGTCCTTAGAAGAATACTTTGGACAGATACCAAGGAGCAATTGCTGAAGAAAGAAAAAAGATCTTAGTAAAGTAGCGTCAGCAAAAAAAGACAGAAACCCTCAATGCAAGAGATCGTCACAGTGGCTGCACCCCTGGGCCCAGACCCAGCAGTGATGGTGAGGGCCATAGAATCAGGTAAAAAGGAACTAGGTCAGGAAGCAAATAAGGCTTTTCAGGGTGTTGAGACAATGAGGAATAGCCCAGTATAATTTCTAAAACATTTTTGTTCATTTATCTAATTGGTTCTCCGTCCAGGAGTTTTATTAGCATCTCCTTGGGAACTTTAAGAAATTACCTGATCCTTCTCCAAGATAAACTGATGCAACTGGTCTGAGGTGGGGTTCGGGCCCAATTACTTGAAAACAAAGCCCAGGGGATTCTCATGTGGCTTTGAATTGAGAACAATTGTTTTCTCAAGCTTGTTTGGGTCTTCTTCTGCTCTGCAGGCAAACGATGAGTCCATCTACCCAATGAAGATTTATAGGCTTTAAAACTCTAAGGGACAATTCTAGTCTGTGGCACCGGGTCACCATGAGCAGGAATCGACTTGACAGCAGTGGGTTGGGTTTCTTATCCAGAACAAAACTATAGCTCATTAGAATTTCAACTGTCATCAGTCACCTTATTTTCTTGGGGCACGACAGTGGAGGGAAAGATTATCTTCAAATTGGGTCTGAAGGTAGGGTTATTTTCTTCACATAAAGGCAAAAAGCTTTTCCAGTTACATTGGAGTTCTATAAATAAGCATTCCAAATTATGGTTTAAATTTTTATTCATGATTCTGATTTGGAAAGAACTACACAGTAGCCTTCAGGAAAAGAGCAAGAATCTCATAATGGAGAACATACCACTTCAACTTTTTCTCTGATGAATGGGTCCCCACTGAAAACCATGATTTACTCTTATGTAGGCTCTATAGAACCCCCTTCTCTTTCAGTGACCTTAAAAACATCCAGAGTATGCCTGTGTTAGGTACTTTAAGATGGCACCAATAATCCAACTTTCTTTTAGTTATGCCTGAGTGTCATCCATACTCTTCAGAGTAGGCAGAATGATGAGATGTCACTCTCATGGTTAGGTTATAAAATGACTTCTTTTTATGTGGGTATGTGTGTGGCTCTGATACCTTGATCTGGGGGAAACAAGAAACTCTATTGCGTGTAGCTTAGAGGCTCACATGATTGGTGAGACGCTGAGTGGATTTCTATCAAAATTGAATATTGAATTAGATGACCAAATACTTTCATTTTAGCCTAGTGACTAGTTTAGAGCCAAAGACACCCAGTCAAACCTTACCTGGGTTCCTGACTCACATAGATTGTGAGATAATAAATATTTGTTGCTCTAAGCCACTATATTTTAAGGTTATGCAGCAAGATAACTAATACATGGCTGGATTCATCAAGAGAAGACTGTTATCTACAAGCCGTTACTATTTTCACATTTCATTTCATGACAATGATATAAAAGAAAATCTTATCAATTCAACGATGAGAATTCAGAAAATGGGGCCAAACAGTAATCAAGAAGGAAAAAGCATAAGTAGTATCTGCCATGGGGGGTCTAGCTTGAGAAGATTAAGGTGAGACCAGGACTTTATTGGTTTTTATTGCGTTCATTATATATATTTTTCTTGCCAAGTCTCTTCAATTCAAGAGAAAGGCACTGCTCCTGACAAAGCCCTCAAAGTTGGAAGATGAATGGGAAATCAGGAGGAACACGTCATTTTCATTGAAGGCAGCAGTTTCATTGAGCAAACGTCTAATGGAATAGACTGACAACAAGGCTAAAGATCATTAACATGAAATTTTAATGCACTATTGCATATGAAGATACACATTAAGAAGTCAAACCAGAGAGATCAAGTAATAGATTTTTTAAAAAGTTGTTTTAGGATGATCCTAGAAAGATAGGGGCTGATCATCATCTGGTACCCATAGATAGGTCACAGTGGCCTGCATACATTCTGATTGATCAGTGATAGAATCTCCCATGGGAGGAGCCATCGCTACTGGTCATTAAATATAGACATTGTCAGTGTTAGATAAAATTTGGTTTTGTTCAGCCTTGTATTATCTATGTGTAAGTTGTACTAAGGGAGGGACAGGATTTCTTTGGTCTTCTCGCCCAGTATATGGCAGAGAGGCATAAATTAAGCCAGAGTATAAACCTTGTACATCTTTCTGAAGCATCAGTATTGCTTCATGATGCTAATTCAAAATAACCTCACATTAAACTCAACACACATCTATGTGGACTGAAACGCAAAGCTCAGATGACTCTTCATAGAAAGTAGGATTTGAAGAAATGTTGTTTTGGTGGCAGCCTTTGCGGTCGTTCACTATACCCTCCTTCTGTCGCCTCTGTTGTTGGCGATATTTCAGAAGAAAATTGCGAGGGGCATTGCTTCAAGGAACTTTTGGTTGTATGATTGCTTTTACTGTGAAAATCGGTGGGTCTCGTATTCAGTACTTATGTTCTGGACACTCTAGAAAACCAGAAATGGAAATTACCAGGTGGGAACTCTTAAGATGCTGTCGTCAGCATTTCATCCTTCTGTCTTTAAGGTATATTTATAACCAATCAAAATATACTTGAGGTGAAAATTTATATCATGGGTGTGCTGTCAAAATATTTGTATTACTTCTTTTGTCAACATTTTTTACTCTTTTACTTAATTTCTCCTTCCTAGTCGTTGTGTCTCTACGTATTTAACCCATTTTCTCTCTCAAAAAGCATTTTAGAGCTCCGCTGATCTGCTATTTTTCAGAGGTCTCCCTTCACAAATAAAGAAGTTTAATGGTGGAATAGAAATTAAGATGGAAAATCTTATCATCTTATTGCTCCTTTTGAGTGAAATCATCACACACGCTCACTCTCTCATTGCTACCAAGTCTATTTGGACTCATAGCGATCCTGTACAGATTAATAACTGAATATTAAGTGACTTATCCCAACATGGTTCAACTTTGTATGCAAAGGTAAAGATCACACGTCAGCAGAAAGGAGAAAACAGGAGGTACTCGGTTGTAATCTTATTCATCTAAACTAAGAGTATGTGCTACATGATGTCGACTCTGCCCTTCACTGGTCGTTGTATCGCAATCTCAAATTCCTTATTTGTACATGAATAAGAGGGACAAATCATTTTAAATTTGTGTAAGCAGTGCAGATTTTATTTTCTAGACTGTTCATGATAAAAATACAATTGCATGAGGAAAAAATACAATTAAAAGTGGACGCTGCTATAAAGATCGCAATGGTGATGAGTAATACTACCAGGAATGGATATACTACTAAATATTTATTTTTGCTTAATTCAGTTATGTAGTATAATTTGGTGGTAACTGCAACTCCACAGACAACAAGTATTTGGTCCTAACATGACTCTAGTATCCTAGAGGTACCTTCGCTATTTGGTTTAAATTTGTTTTTAAATCATCTTTTTTATCCTTTAAAAATATAGTAAGATTAGTCTACTTCTGAATTTTCTTAAATTCAGATGTTGGATGATCTAATCTAATTGATAATCCTCCACCCTTGATGTACTACAAGGCTCTAGTCACATAACCCTGATTTTGAAACATGAGCTTGCAAAGAACCCTTACATCAGATGGTAGTTGGCAATGCCATTCATTGCATCTTCCTAAAGAATATCTAAGGAGGGCAGGTCTTTCTTGTGTCTTGCAACCACAAGAAAATCAAACGAGCCTGTGGTTTCTGTTGACTTAGCCTTTCATGAATGCTCATCTAGAAATGTATTGGCAGATACTAATGATGTAAAATAGACTGGCTTGAATAACAGATATTTTGGGTAAGCAGATACAGTAATGCCGATGTCTGACAATGGGAGAATTATTAAGTCAAGATGTATCTTTCTAACCTAAAACCTTCATGATATTCAGGGCCCCACATCCCTAAGTATATGCTCTATTTTGGGCTTTGTTTAACCATGTGTGGGCTTTGTGTTACCATCTAATGGGAAAATAACTTTTAATGCCGCCATCTTTTATCTGGCAGAGAGCCCAAGTAATTTTTAAAATTACTAATTTAAATAGGCATATTATAAAAATATGACACTGTTCTGCTCATGAACCCAAATATATTAAAACTTAAAATTCTATGAATTTTTTTATCTGTTGTGATTTCACTTATATGATCCAATTGAATTGGCAAGAGTACATGGCAAAACATGTTTCACATTTTTGCATTGTTCCCTGCGAGACATCTATTGTAAGCATCGCTGCAGGCTGTCGTTTTTGTCCACCATCCAGGATTTGCTGGACCAAGCGCTGTGTACTAGCCTTAGCGTTGGTCCTGAGAGGGAGGGAGAACTTGAAGTTGAGCCAGACGGTTTTGGTATTCCTTTAAAATTGAAAGCATATGAAACAGATACAGCTTATTAAGATTATTTCTTTATAAATAACATAAACTTAAATAACAAAACAATAAAGTTCAAATACAACTTAAAGTAGAGTTTAATGCTGTAACCACAGGGAAAAAAATGCACGATTACTTGTGGGAAGAACATTATTAAAAGCTATCATCTCAAATATGAATTATACAAAAGATAGATTATGTTATTTGAACAAAACTTAAAGATTTCTGAGTTTTACTTTTAGGGTTCATAAAATATTATTTTGTGGCAAGTGAGATGAAGTACAGTATCATTATTGATATTTTATATACAAAATTTTTAAAACAAACTTTGAGCAATACTCTTTAAATTTCAACAACATGAGGAATTTGTTCCTGTTAATAGATACATGCATGTTCTAATCCTATACTTCTTTAAAAACTACCTATATGATTCAATTTCATAATAAAAAATTTTTGAGAATATTCCACTTTTATAGTTTTCATGGGCTATTATTTTTTGTGAGAAAACATTTCAAATACTGCTTATCTTCCATAGTTAGTGATTACTTGATTATCTGACAAATCATTCCAGCAGCCTCTAGGTCTGACATATCTTATATAAGGTAATCTGCATTATTATTATTATAGCAGCCATTTTAAAAGCAGATAGGGATATTTTAAATAATCATTATCAGATAATCAAATCTAACATACTCTTACGTGTAAATTAATTTAAAGGAAAAAAATTACTATTACTAACACCATGATTGTACAACCAGTTTTACAATTTTTTACAACTTTCAGTTACTAAATCTGATTTTCGTGTTACATTTTTCAAATCTTTCTTTAATGCAGTCTCTTAAAATAAACATAAATGCGCAAGTCCAGCTTGATCAGTTTTTCAGTAGTTTTCCAGCCTTTCTTGGTTACTTAAAAAAAGAAAAGGGGGGGAGGGGCGGAGGAGAAGAGAGAAAACAGTCCACTTAAAGAAATCTCCCTGCTGGAACTGGTTTCTTATATACCACACATGCGATTAAGTTATTGCCATAGGCAGAAAGTGGGCTATTCTTTGCTCTTTCTTCGTTTTTTTCCCTTTGACTGGAAGCCCTTTCTGATTCAGCGCGACAAACATTTCTCCTCCACTGTGTGTCCATTTAGCTGATGCATAGGTGTTGTAATGATTTTCCAGAATTAATTCTTTGAAGTTGCAATCTTCATTGCATTCTTTCTGTTAAACAAAGAAACAAACACGTGATTTTTAGAAGGGCTCGGTGAAGCAGGAAGTAAACAAGTATTATTTGGGTAGCGTTAAAATATATATGACTTTTTGTTTTAAACTTCAGCTTGAATGTGCCTAATACTGCATTTTATTAGATACAGGTGTAGCATATTTGCAAAGGAAACAACTTAAATTTTTTGACAGATAAAATGATACTCATTTAGCTAAGTAAAATGGTTCCAATTTTTGGAGGGTGTCAATAATTGATTTTTGGTGCCCATTTGTCCTGCTTAGCCATATTCATATGCCTAGGCTCAAGCATTGGAAATTTGATATAGTTAGCCAACTCTCTGCCCCTTGTAAATATTGAATATAATTCACAACTGTTCTTTATCTACCACTTTGCTGATGGTGAGAAATAGGAGGTTAATTTATTTATTCATCCAACCATTCACTAAGGTATTCATTCATTGAATTAAGCATATGTTATTGTAACTAGCTTGTGCTAGACATTGTGCTGGGCTGCATAAATGCAAAGGAAAGCTAATTATACTTCATTATAGTGGGATGAACTGTTACATATTTTGCATTGTAAGAAAGAGGGAACAATGTCAACGCTTATAGTTCAAAGCCCATGATTATGAGTTTGATGTTGATAAACAATCTGAACACTTCAGAACTTTTTATTTCAAGAATGTTCATGTCAGCAATGTGCAAATTGGGTGAACTTTAACAAAAAGGGCTTTCATCCTGAGAGATGGAAAATTTAGATTTTAAGTATGTGAAGTGCACATGGAATTTGAGAGCTGGGTGTATCTTGGGGGCTCAGCTCTTCCTGCTCATTTTACAGATGAAGAAATGAAAATCTAGAGAGCGTAAGCACTTGGTCCCAAGGTCCCACAGAAAAGGTGTTCTAATGCTTGAGCATTTTAATGAAATTCTTATATAATTGAAGAAAGATTACTTTAATTTTTATTTTTCAGAAAGATATTTCTGACCCGAATAGGTTTGAAAAATTAAGTCTAGCTATTCATGAGCCCATACCTTTGCATACAGCTTTCCTTCCTTGTTCATTGCAAGGTAGTATTCACTTTCCACCCCTTTGATTGCCACAATTCCAACTGCCACTGTCCTGATTTCCATAATATCTGCAAGGAACCACAGAAAGATTGTCAGTTGTTCACTCAGCTTGGCAGGTTATTCAACAATGGTTGTTTGTTCTTTATTTCTGCTTCAATTGTCAACTCTTCAAATGCTGAGTGGGTTTACTTCCTCAGCCCAAGATGCCCTTCCCATATCACATACGTAGAAACACCAAAGTGGTCCTTATTAGCATGAAGAGCACAAACTGGCTTTGATTTTGGCTTTGTAGAGAAACAATCTGGATTCAAATAAATGGTTTCCTATTTGAATTTGTATTTTTATTCTCTTGAATTACATTTCTGATTTACTATCATAATAGTAAAAGTTAACATTGACTGAACGCAGGCCACAGGATAAGGATTAGTCTAGTGTGCTTGTGCATTAACTCAACCGTTTCCCCATTTTATAGATCAAGAAACTGGAGCAAAGGCAAGTTAAGTAATTTGCCCAAATTCTCACAACTACAGATAGCAGAGCTGGAATTTGAACCCCAATAGTCAGATTATTAATTATTATACAATGCTATGAAGATAGTTTAATCTATGGTTTTTGCTCTTTAGTAAAACGTTATCTTTCAAAGGTAATTGCTAACAGCATATATCTTGAAAATACTGAAATTAAATAAAAACCAATGAAGGCAGTTATTAATGATGCTACATAGGGCTATTGGTTTGTTTGCTGTTGCTAGATGCCATCAGGTACCGTTTGACTGGTAGCATCCCATGTAACAGAGTGGCAAGGCCCCTGGGGATTTTTGAGGCTGTCAACTTTGCAAACGCCGATCGCCAGGTCTTTCTCTTGTAGAGCCACTCCACTGGGTGGGTTCAAAGCATTCGCCTCTTTGTTACAGCTGAGCACCTAACTATGATGCTACCTGGGCTCCTCAACAGAGACAGCCGCATCCATTGCCATCGAGTCCATTTCTACTCCTCGTGACCCTACAGGACAGAGCAGTAACTACCTATGGGAGAGTCTGCCTCCTTAATGCACCAACTACCTACAGTGCAGAAACTGCCTCCTTAATGCACCAGCTGCTGGGAGGGAGAAAGAAAGCGTAGGGCCTTCAAAAACATTTTTTACACATCATAAACTAATAGTGAGGTGATACTATTGAAAAGGAAATGTTGAATTAGATTTGTCGTTTTATTTACATAATGTTTTATAACTTTACACTTTTATTCATTTTCATGTAGTTACTTTTAACTTACTACTTTATTATATATGTCTTCTAAATACAAGAAAATTATGTCTAACAAATGCAAAGAAAGTTCTAAATGAAAATTATCTGCAGAAATCTAGTCTTAAGACTGTCTTCTGAAATATTAATATGCATCAAGGAAAATCTCAATTGTGGACTGTATGCCTTCACCTCATCCCCTTTATTTATTCTTTTTTAAGTGTATCTATCTGGAGGATAAAATAGTTACCCTCTCCATTGGGATTTTTATGTTTCATATATCAACTGCCTGAAGAAGCCATTTTTCTTAGCAAACCATAGTAGTCAGCAGTCATCTAATTAGCACTCATCTAATTAAGTTTCACAATTGCTCATTTAGAAATCTATCTAAAAGAAAATGCAAAGGTGTGAATATTGGTATTTTTTTAAAAGAAGTCTAAGTGTACAAGTAACATTCCCAGTAAATTGTTCTCCAAAATGTAAGGCATATTCCAACGCAGGCCATTACGGTCAAATTGTTAGCATTATGACTCTGGAAACATAGTAACAGAGTTATTTCAGGCAAAACGGCCATTTATACTTGTCAACAATACTGTCAACAGTAGTGCAATTCGCTATTTAAGTTGTCAGTCTTACAAACTAGACAATGACTGCTCTATGTTTTTCCTCCACTTCAATAAGGCATGAATATCTCCAAACTTGTGCCTACTGCCTATTTAGTCTTTTACCAACACTTGGAGTGGGAAGAGAAAACCTTGTTATAAATTGCTATTTAAAAAAAAATCTCCAACATCTTGTAGAATTTCAGTTGTTCTGGACTGTTGAAAGTGGTTCTTTGTTCTTATTACAATGTTTAAATGTTTTAATTTTCCCATTTGAAAAATTAGCTTCGATTGTTAATGTTTAGCAGAACTGCATAACTCAAAGAACCATTATTTCTCAGATGACCACTGTATGGTAGGTTAAAAAATCAATTCAAAATTCAGTGGGGGAAAGTGGATTTTAATAAAACTGGGCATGGAATTTCAGATTCCACCTTACAACTAACCTTTATGAAACTACCAACCGTTGATGTAATATCTGTTTTATTTAAGTACTCTCCCTTTTTATACCTATACATCTATATGAAGCCAAAATTTCTTCATGTATACCTAGGCAAGATGCTATATTACAAGAGTTTAATATGAAAATGTAGCTATATTTTTGTTAAGTCAGAAACTATTGTATTGGGGTTTTTAAAAGTATAAAACAAAAATGCTTATCTCACTAAATTTTTTGCTTTACAACATCTAGTTCTTTTTCACTTTAAAAATGTTATCTGGGAAAACAAAGTCATACCATTTTCCTCTCTAAATTCTTTTGGAAAATAGAGCTATTTTTCAGAAAAGGGGGGTTACTTCTGTTGCTCTGTAATGGATTCTTATGGTTGTTTATAAATGAGTTAATTAAGAAATGTTTTCTATTTTGAATACAGTAAACATCAGTAGTTATAACCCACATAAACAAAAGCTCTTTGAGGCACTCAATGCTTAGTAGTGAAAAGGGATCCCAAGACTAAGACGTTGAAACAGCTTTTCTAAATTAATTCCATTTCTCACGCTCTGCTTACTTGCAGTTTGACTGTACTTTATAAACTGTGGGTTATATCTGTGGGTTGACTCTCGGGTTATTCTTCAGCTCTCTACATGCATGGGCTTAAAAGAGAAACCCCATTACATGTGCAAACAGACGTGTTCAATGTGCTCCAAAATGTCTGCGGAGTTTCATGATGATATTTAAAAGTATCAAGTTGCAGATTAAAATTAAATTATGTAAGTAAATAGTAAACTATTTAAAACATACGTATTTGATCAACTTGGTTGCTAGTTGGATGTTAGTATGGTTTTAATTAAAGAATAATACTAAGATATTTATTTATACTGCTGATTTTTTGTGCACTGACACATTTAAGAAAACAAAGAATTTTGCTAAGCACATGTTGCTATTTTTGACATATTAAAATCCTGCCTTTGAGTACTACAGTTGTTACATATTCTCATGTGTTTCAGTACTAAATATATTCACGTGCATAAATTAAAAATAATCATAAGTCTTTTCAAAGGGAGCAGGCTTTGTTCCTCAGTTTTCTTGCCTGAGACCTTTTCAATTCCTCCCTCGCTTGCCTTTTGAAGCCCCTTTCCAAAATGCCCCTTCAGTCAGAGGTGTTTTAAGATCTCCACAGCCCCTTGCAGCCTGGCAGGGACACACCGTGTGTCAGAGGACAGGCAGGTTCTGTAAGGTTTTCGCTGGCTGGTTCTTCCAAAGGAGATCGACAGGTCTCTTTGTGGCCCCTCTGGGGCCTGAGACGCTCCACCGTTGGGTCAGCAGCACAATGTGTAGCCATTTGCACCACCCGGGGGCTGCTCAGTGGCCTGAGATACTGGCATTTTCTGAGATCCTACTCTACACAGATTATACGCATTTTATAAATCCTTATTTCCCACTAGATGCATTATTTTACAAGTAGATTCAATGTTACACAATTTTCCTCTGGAAAACATTTGGCCTAAAGTAACCCCTGGAATGTGCCACTAGCTATAAATATTCTGCTAGTGTCATGCTTTGCTGAAAATTCTCGCAAAGTCAAAAAACATCACCAAGTTGTTCACAAACCCTATGAAAAAGGATATTGATGAATTTAATAAATAATGAAGCTGGCATAATGGTGTGCTTTATATGTTAAATACACATATTTGCTAGCCCTGATTTTTTTTTTATTTTCTAATTTTAGCACCAATAACTTTATGTTAAAGCATTTAATATATGTGATGGGCCCTAGGCACAGCGCCGGACACAAGGTCACTGCTGTTAACCCTGGAATATTTTCATAGGACTACCCTGGTGTCTTTTCACTAGCACCACATTTCATAAATGTATAGCCTAAATGTAATTGTTGTCCTTGAATCAAAGTCGGAAACTCACAGGGGCACTTCTACCTGGTCCTACAGACCAGGTTGCTGAGTCAGCATCTACCTGATGGCGGCCAGTAAATAAGATCTTCTAATCTCTTTACTGGCTTTCTCCCTTCGAGGTCATCAGGGTTCTTAATCGCCAAATTTCAATTTTCAATTTTCTTCTGTTCATCATTTTCTTCTGTTCATCTTCTCACACTCTGGACTGTTAGCCTCTTCCCAATGTCTGCTGTTTCATTAATTCTGCTCTACCTGACCCACTAATTTACTCAAAAGTTACCAGCTTTTGTGTAACCGTATAGCTATAAAGCCTTTCTTTTAATAACTTATACCATTGGTTTAATGTTTAAATGACCTTTTTTTTCCATCCCACTGTCTGAAATATGTATTTTGTCATTTGAATTTCAAATAGATATCTTCAGTGAATCTATAATTAATTTTGAGGTATTATAAGACTATAAACTGATGTTTTATTTCTGCAAATAGCTAACTAGGTTTTATGTTATTTATTGCATATTCCATTCTTTCTTTCAACTGAGTAACGATGCTTTTCTTGTAGCTCATATTCCCATTGCTGTACTTGTCTGTCTAGCACACATTCACAATCATTTGTTGTGGGCAACTAAATCTGAAGTAGCTCATTGCTTCATGTGCTATTTAGAGATAGCCTTCAGATAAGTCCTTCTGAGCTTTGCAGAATAAATTGACACCATTTCTTCAAAACAATCCTTTAAAGAGATGAAGACATGTATCACATCCCCCATTGGGCAAAATGCCCATGCTTTCTTCAGCTCTGCCTCAAATTGAATAGATTTCAGAGTCTTCTCCAGCTGTGTTTTATTTTCTTAAACCCGCCTAAAGCAGAATGTTTCCTTCA